GCATGCGTAATGTCTGAAGGTAGACATATTGAACCTTTACTATGATTTCTACATGTTGTGTGCTTTGTTATTGATAAATTAGTTTTGTTTATTACCCTTTAATCGTTTAATGCAGGTACTAACTACAAAATAACAATAAATCTAGTTCGCATTTATGACAATGTATCTCTGTATTTGTTCGTAAAATAATTTTTTGCTGCAAAGTGGTTTATTTTGGGCAAAAAACCCAAGAGATATTTTTTGTTCAGAATGAAACAGGCTATCATTTTTGTCAAAGCCTTTCCTTAATATATCGCCCCATGCCTTAAATTACCTGTGGCTAGATGAACAAGGTTTGAATTACACCAGATTTAACAAAACTGGATTTTTTCTTATGAGGATACATAAAAAATATGGTTTACGTCGAACCACCGAGCCACCTAGCCACCAGCTTCTTCCGAAAATATGCGACTTAGAATAAAGAATGCTTTTGGCAGCATTACACCAGCTGTCTTGAAAAGAAATGTGTCTCATTGATTTGTTATTCTACACTGATGCCGAAAAAATAGTATACGCAACACGTCCGAAAACAGTAAATTACTATTGTTTGCCATTAAAGGCAATATGTTAACGAAAATAGGAATGATTACAATTGAATACAGATTTAGTTAGAACCTGACATTGGCGAATCCGGCAAAATAACAACTTAAGTATTGAATTGTCAGAAAAATTGCAATGGAAGTTATCTTGAATGAAAAACTTTATTTTGAATTGCGATGGCGTTTCTAGATGAAACATTGCAACAAATTTAGGCCGGAATGGATACCGGAATTCCAAAGGTGGAAACATTTTTTCCGTTAACTTGACATTGAATATTTTTTCTGTTAGTTACATTCACCTATAAAAACCAGATTAATAGCAATTATTTCTATACGTTTCAACGATGATCATTACAGTTATGAAGTTGAAAAGTTGTTATTTTAATTCGTGTCAATTATTGTTATATCATGAATATAGAAGTAGAGCAATTATACAGAAATAAAGCAATTAAATATCATTCAACATTTAGATTTTATGTGGGTTGAATTTTCATGGGCGGTTAACAAACGTTTGTTTTTTGTTTCTAATCACAACCATTGTCTATGTTGCCCACCAAAAAGTGCTATTTCTCAGTTCGTAAAATATATTCTGGAAAGGTATGTATGTGTCACTGCCTTGAAAAATTAATTCAAACAAGACTGGAGATCTTTGTTTCATTTTGAGAAAAGGAAAATCAAATATGTTCATCAATTCCAAATATCTCTCAAAAATATTATGTTATGAGAGTCACACCCTCTAGTGCTAGTGTCCAATGTCCATTGGAAAGATCATTACGGCAAAAATAAGATTCTTTGATAGACGATTCCATCATAGGGCAAGAATGATGAGGCTACCCCAGTCTGCGAGTCCTGCCAAAATACCACTTACTGAGGAGTGAAATTATAAATTTTAAATTTAACTTGAAATGAATGTCAGCTTACATTTGCCAATGAAGTGAAATATCAGGTTATTTCAAAAGTTTTGTTCGTTTAAATGTCATGTGTTTTTGTAGCACCATATGTCAATAAGTATTTATTCTACTATGGCGCTGTTGAGAATTTTGTACTTAATACATTGATGCTATTCATTTTTTTTGAATTTTTTGTTTTTGGATTTCTTCAGCTTATTACTGTATTACAGGTCAATATCAACGAGGCGTTTGGTGCCCGTCATCGTACTTAAAAAGTGCGAAAATTAACTCGCACCATTATTATGCAGACTTTTCAACCTGTCTTACAAGAAAGGGGGATTGCTCGCATTCAGCCTATTCCCAAAAATGCAAGAAAACTCTTCCAAATAACTATAGACCATTTGCTTTGCTATCAGTGATATCAAAAATCATTAGGAAAGCCATAAACCACCATATCCTCAAATATTTGGAAGGCTTCAACATCTTAAGCGATCATCAAAATGCCTTTGGGAAACAAAGAACAATGGGCGACTTTCTATCGTATGTCACCCATATTTGGAATAAGGCAATCGAGAAAAATGGAGAGCCGAGAGCTGTTGCGCTTGATATTTCTAAGGCCTTTGACCGTGTGCGGCTTGAGGGTTTGCTGACCAAACTTCGATGCTATGACTTGTAGGATCATTTTTGTGTATGGCTCTTCAGCATCTTAAAAGGACGTTTCCTGCAAGTGGCCGTTGATGGATATATCTCGAATACTCTCGCCATCAACGCAGGTGTTCCCCAGGGACCATATTGTCTTCAACCCTCTTTTATTGTATATCAACGACTTATTGGAAAAAAACAAAAAACCAAAATATTGCTTTGCCATTGACAGCACACTTGTCTCTTCATTACATTTGGATTCAAGGACATCGGCTGCGGATGCACATCTTCACTGGCAACTGGAGGTTGAATATCTTAATGAGGATCTAGACGTAATTTCGGATCGGAGTGAAAGTAACCAGGTTCAATTAAATGCCACAAAAACCCAGGCATCGATTTTCTCCAAAAAGATAAATAATATCTTCGAACCGGATTGTCAGGTCAGACAATTTCTGCTTCGATAAGTTTGTTGGGGGTTAAAATGGACACCAATATGTCTTGGCACATCCTAGCATTTCTGTTTCTGGTTTGGATGCCACCTCTAGTTGGCTATCTTCATATATTTTAAGAGTTTCTGTGGTGTTCTTCAATGAGAATTTGACTAATGCTGTTTTGCTGATATTTAGTGCTAAATGATTTTTATCAGCCCATTTCATTATTTTCTCATATATGGATTCTGTTGTTTCTGCAAGTGCTAATGTATTACCAGACCATTTGTATCGTCTGCATATGCAACTATATGTACCTTTGTAAGACTATTTAGGTATTGTATCAAGTCTTTCACATAAATAAGAAAAAGCAGTGGTCCTAGTGTAGACCCCTGTGGAACTTCTTGCTTGCAGGCCAAGGACTGACTATGAACACCTTGAATTATCACTGTTTGTGACCTGTTCTCTAGATAGGACCCCATCCAATCTTGGGAAACTCCACGAACCCCATAGCAATGCATTTTCTGGATTAGTACATAGTGATCCACACAGTCAAATGCTCTGGAAAAATCGATGAACAAACCACAAATTTGTAGTTTGTTATCCAAGGCTGTTACTACATGTTCTATGAAATCATACAAAGCTGTTTCCGTGCTTTTATCTTGCATGAAACCATGCTGGTTAAACGAAAGTAATTCATTTTTGAGGAGAAACGATAGTGACTGATTTTTAATATTAATTTCGTTCAACTTGGATATACTGAGAGAAGACTTACCCCTCTATAGTTCTCATAGCTATTTGAGTCTCCTTTTTTAAAGATTGGGATAACGATTGCAACTTTTAATTTCTCAGGGAACATTCCTCGTTCCATACTGTAATCCAGGTTGAGAATTTGAGGACCCTGGTGGAGATTTACCCATAACAAACGGTGCCTGGCACGACGGAAGAACTAGTCGTCAGGCCACAAAGCTCACAAAAGTGGATGGCCCACGATTTGAAGGATCGACATAAATTGTTTCGTCTGTTCTCTGCTTTTGCGCAACCAAAACTATTCTTTATTATTTCGGATCGTCACCTGTGATGATCCTCTACGACAACAGGAGGTGTTCAAGACAGATGTTGGACACTGATGAGCCACCCAGGCACTTCCCAAAAGCGAAAACTCACCAATGAAAGACCATGGTGGTCAGCAGCTGGTGTGATTCAATATAACTTTCTTCAACTAGGCCAAACCATCATAGCAGAGTCCTATCATGAGGAAGTCAACGAAATGATATGCTGCCAGCTATGTGTGACTTCGAAATTAGTCTGAAATCTCTGAAGACATATACTTGTGAACTTCTGTTTTCTGGATCTGCAGAAATCGGCTTTGCACAATTAACAAAACACCAAATAATATTGATGTACGAGCGAAATCAAAGGCGGTGCTGACGGTGTCGATGCTATTGAGTTTCACCAGTAAATAAGAAGTATCGTATGAGCTTGAAGATTGACACAATTAAAATTTGAAACTGTCACCGAGAGAATGACCCAAAACACGCATCTACTATCCTTATCTAGTACTATGAAAATGGAGATGAATCCTCCATCGGGATGATTCATTGTAGATAGATGTTCCCGAAGTGCCAAAACTGAACTGACTTTGTATGAGTTTTTTCATTTCGGTAGATATTCGTTTTGAGGGCACCCGGTGATTTTGAAAAAAAAATTGAGTGTACGTACGTATTTTGATGCGTAGAATACGAATCCGACAAAAAAAGGGGCGCTCTCCCTTATTTACAAAGTTACGGACCCTTAAAGTTCAGAAACGGGCAACTTTTCAGCCTTTTTTTTCACAAGATAAACTATTCAAAAATCCAGGCATTTATTCACTAGGTCACCTTTACATATTATTCCTTCTTACTTGACACTTTTCAATTCAACAGTCAACATTTTTCTTATAAAAAACTTAATTGAAAAAACGAATGCTTATTCTGGTGACATTCTTCTATTTCTAGGTTACTTACTAGTGACATTTCTTAAAAAAAGGTTGGTATTTGCCGCCGCCTACTATTTCAAATATTCATCTTATCTTAATACACCACAAAAAACCAATTTACGATCTGAAGAATGAAGGCAAAAAACATTAGGCACCGTATAGATTTAGGAATATTGACAGCATCAGTCGTACCAACTATGCCATTAACCTTAAAAACGTAAAATGCAGAGATATATAACCAAAAAGCAGCTGCGTACATTTTTTAACATTTTTATTGGAAACATGTTGATTGTTGAAGTGAAAAGTGTCAAGGAAGGAGGAATAAGTTGTAAAAATGGCCTTAGTGAATAAATGCCTGTGTTTTTAATTAGCTTTTCTTGTGGAAAAGAAGGCTGAAAAGTTGCCCTTTTCAGAACTTTGAAGGGCCGTAACTATGTAAATAAGGGAGAGCGCCGCTTTTTTCTTTTGGATTCGTAATCTACGCATCAAAATATGTAAGTACACTCAACATTTTTTCAAAATCGCCGGGTGCCCTCAAAACGAATATTTACCGTAAATTCCCCTAAACTGAGAAAATGGATCAGATGCTTGGAAGGTCGAATTCTTTGATCTTGTTAATGGATACCCCTGAGCATTAGTTTATGCACCCGCGGAAGTAAAGTGTGGACCGCTGATGTGGGTCTTCTTCCGAGATGTTTCTAACTAATTGACATAGTTCTGGTCACTTTTTTTTGAGTCGAAAACCAATAATTTTCAACTTTGGAAGAAATCTCCCCAAAAAACATACTTCAGAAATTAATTCACCCGCCACATGAATCCTACAATATTTATATAGTTTCACAAAATTCAGCTGAAAACCCCAACCATTATACAATAATCCTTACCCACCTAGTTCTTGCCATAAGATCTTTGGCAATCCCCTTCCCTCTGTATGACCCATCCACAGAGAGAATCTTCACGGTGACGGCTTTGTCGATTCCTGGATACTTTTTGAAGGGATCAGACTCTTCAGCGACATGTTCAAGCAACTGCACGATCTTGCTGAACTTCTCGTCCTTGCACACAAATTCCTCCTCAGCTTTTCCCCTCTCCATGAGGCCGTTTAGGCAGACACCAATCAGCTTTTTGTCGTGAATAGCCAGTAGGTTGAGGCCGTTGTTCAGGTCTTTTAGGGTGAACTTTTCTAGATCTAGACATCTGGGGTTGTCTTCGTTGATCAGTTGAAGGAAGGAGTTGAGAGGCTCGTCTTTGTAGAAGAAATTTTGGAGGAATTCGCGAATCTGTAAAGATTCGAGATTAGTGTTATAGAATGATGTTTGCATAAAATTATGAATTATTCTCATATATTCATCTGTTGAAGTGATTATTCGGAACGAAGGGAAATATAACATGTTGCTATTTGAAGAAGTTGAGGATGGAGTTAGTGATTTGTGCACTTTCATTTAATGTAACCTTTGCGTGGCGTAGTACACAGGATATGTGTGAGAGGAGAATTGAAGGAGTGCTGAAGTTGGAACTACGTATTTCGAGATAGGTACGGGTAGATAGGTGTAGGTTCAAAAAGGAAAGGATCCAGAGAAAACGAGGCCTGCATTTCTCTGTGAAGAATGATTTCATTCGAGATTGAAAGAACATGTTTCATTTTTATCTTAGTGAGGACCTGATCGGGAGTCACTCTGCAATCATCAGTTAGGTAAGGAACACAAATGTGTGACTTGTGAAGTAGGCCTCCTATGGTGCCTTAAAACTGGAGTTTTAATCTTCCTCTTTGAAGATGATCTCTTGGTGATCGAAACACGTGTCGAGGTGTTGAAAATAACGATTTGGTGTTGGGAAAAACTCCAGTAATATTCAAAATATTAAGAGTTCATTGAAAGTACTTGTCATTAACCACATGAGTATTTGAAATTGAACAAATTACTAGAAAAATTTAGGTTAACATTATTGACACCTCTATCGAAGTATACCGGGTGGTGAAAATTTATTTGCACACTGTTGATATCTGGGTAACGGTAGAAGATACGACGTTAGTTAAATTGGACAACAATGTAGGTAAAAGTGGCACAATATGATCCTCCCAAAGGAAAATGGTTTGAAAACAAGTGCATATGCTTTTTCTCAAAATCAAAAAATATAAGGAATAGCTAGCTATTCAATCAAATTACAAATTTAGTAAACGTTGACTCGTATAAGTCATGAGGAACAATGTTAATAATCGATGTTTTCGTGAGGGTCTACTAAAGTATCATTTTGTACACCCATGTGTCCAAAATACTTCACAGGGTGTGGGTAAAATAATCACCCCACTCTTCAAAAAAAGGAAGGAAAAAATATTCAACAATATCGTTTCCAAATATAACATAAAAGAAAAAACGATCTTTCAATAATCTCCATCATGGACATTAATGTAATCTCTCTTTTGATCAATAGTGTTATTGGTTCCGTTCTTAGGTAATCGTAACAAAATGAAGTCTAGATCGAATACAATTTATTGTATTCGATACAAGCAATAAAAGTACAAGCGTGTTCTTTTATTGCTTCTATTTTTTTTGTATAATTGGCAGGGGACTATTTGGCGGACCTAACTTTTTTCGAAAATATGTCGCAAAGAATTTATTTCAAAATATTTCTTTCATGGTTTATGAAGTCTTTGAACAGTACAGTAATATCTATGTATATCGATGAGGTTGCAATCTAGTATCTGGTATCTGGTATAGAGTAGGGAGGGTGAGTGAAAACTCACAGCACTTAGGCCACATGTGACCCATTGTACATCCTCCCGAGGAGTTGTCCTCCTGGGTCATCGTCCATCCTGTCCTTTCCAGGAAGGTGAATAGGTCACTAGGAGACATCTCCTTAATATTGGCAGGTCTAGGCCAAGACTCGCCGAACACACACTGTCTTTGGCAACCTTGAGGTGTCTCAAGGTGGCATCTTCGAAGGTTTTGGAAGGTACTGCGATATTACTGTCGTTGCGCGGCTTCTTCAACCTTCTTGGGGGTTCCCTCCGTGGGAGTGAGGGAGCTTTCCTGCAGGGGCAGCCGATTCCTTACCAGCTCCGCCTTGAATAAAGGCGGAGCTCTTGGCGCCCGCCACAGAAAGTGCCCTTGCTGTTGGAGGTGATCTGCTATCACCTCCAAGCGATGGATTGAGGTGGATATTTCTGTTCAACCCTTGCCACCGCCTTAGATTGAGGCGAGCACTTCTGTCCAGCCTCGGGATTGGTTTTTGTTGTTTCTGTTGTTTCTTTAATGTGTGTTCCTACGAGTAGCAAGGGAACAGTTGGTCACCTCTGGTAGAGCCCCGCATTACCAGAGGTAGACTGAGGTTTCGCCCAGTTCCCTAAGGAAATCGTTCATGATTCAATCAGCGGTGTAATTTATTATTACATACTACCGAATATGAGCCACTATCATGACTTCCCCTTTGCATTGTTGTCTTACAAGTTACAACTCCATTTTAAATAATTTCGATCATCTTTGTGAGTGAACCAAAAAACAATTTCACCTATCTAACACTCTATAACAAACCTTGGTGATTATATCCAAAGATTAATTGGAGTATGCCATAAAAATTTGCTCAAATATATGCAAGAACGCTATAATAGGCATACTATTTTTTCAGTGCTAGTGTTTCAAGTATATGATTTATGCATGTAACGGATACTATCCCAGCAGGAGATATGATCAGAACGACCTTTTCGTTCTATTTGATCACCAACCATTAAACGAATTCATTACAGGTTGGTTATAATTCCGTAGAATTAATCTAAACATAAACTTTGCCAATTTGCTAAGAACAATTTTCATCTGCCAAGGTTAGGTATTCATTTTTCACGACAACTTGTAAAGCAGATTTACTGGTTAGGTCTTTTATTAGTTCAGTTTGTGATATTTATACATATAGATACATATGAAGAACTAGTATATTCTACTTTAATTTATTTTCAGCTTTCCACGTTATATTTTTTCACATAGCAATAGTTTTATCGATATTATCCACGCACCAGCTTTAGTTATTTATTTGTAATTTTGAGAATTCCCAACAAAATTTTGACAATACTTTAATGTTGATCTGAATCTGGCAAGAGAAAATAGTGATGAGTTTTTAATTCAGGTAAATTCATTTATGATCTTTATTTTTTCATTGCTATATAATGAAGAATATAAAGTAGAAAGTCAATGCAGAACTCCAAATGATTTTTTTTGGTAAAAACCAATAAAACACATCTAAGAAAACTCCTCTGCAAAAATTTTGGATTTATAAATAAATAAATCAAGAAGCGAATTTGGAAAAAATGCAGGACGAAAGCGGAATATTCTAAAAAAGGAAAAATATAGAATAGATCTCTTTGAAATATGAGAAGAGGTTTGAGAACAGTGAAAAAATAGAGGGAAGGGAATTATTATAATGCCAGTTGTTGCCAGCGACATCTCCCGCGTAGAATTTGGTTTGTTACATTAAGTTTCGTGGCAGACTATTTTCAACAAATAGCTACGATATTTTTTATTAACCCAAAACTTCAAGTTTCCAACTTCAAAACTGACGAAATTCAATACAATCTTTGTATTTTTTCCCCCTTGGGAGTGGAAATTCCTGATTTTTTTGAAGCTCATTTACGCTATACAAAGAACCTACCTGCATATTTCAAGATTCTAGGTTCAGTAGCTTCGGCTATACGTTGATATAAGAGCGGGCCACAGCTAGTAATTTATATTTTCACTTTAAAAAGACCGTAACTAAAAAAATGTGTCAACTGCACTAAATGATGAATAGCTTCGAGAATTGAATTATGTTATCTATAAAGAAATTCGCAAAACTAACACAACCGTCAACGACGTCTGCCCTCACGCGTCTCCCGGAGTTCGGGTCGCGTTCTCAGCGATGGCGCTTCATTGCTTAGACCGCCGCGCATCGTCCCCCATCGTCTTACAGTAGACGCGACGCATAATAGCTTACTGCGTTGCGTCAAGTTAATCTTATCATGAGAAATTTTAGACGATTCGTCCAAATTACTTAGTGTAAAAAACAAAGTTTATCTATATTAAATACTTAAAACGACAATTCTATCAATTTTTATAAGAATTTGACAGATATTGTTAAATGTGCATTGGAATAAAAAATATCCAATTTAATTGTATTTTTGGCTCAGTATTCTGCTTATAGTGGCTCTCACATAAGAAATAGATATATGCTATCGCATACTTTTATTTGGAACTATTCAAGATTAACAATCTTACTACATATTATCTGCATGTAACTCTAACGGTATAGGCAGCGCACGTCAAGATAGCTTTCAGGGAGCAAGAATTTTATCGACTCAATACTTATCGTTATACTGACCCTGCAAACTTCGTTCCGCCTTAGATGCAATAAAAAAGCACATTTTTTATTTTATTAATTTAATTTTTTTATTAATCAAGTATTTCAATTATTCTTTATTAGGTTGCACTCTTCAGTTAAGTACCTTGTGGTACACGAAATTTTTTGTTTTATTATCAGGCGCAAGTATAAACAACGCAGATGGTCTTCCGCCCGTGAACATGCCACATATCGAGTGGTCCAACGAAAAGTATGCACCTTGCTTTTCTCCTTTTTTGTAACTTAACGCAAAAATGCTCGGACAGATCAATTTTGCTTTTGAGGGGGACACATTTTAGATGTATCTTTCTACTTGTGCCTTCAACCTCCTGGCGAGGGTGAGTAACAACCCTATTTACTTGAATGGTTATAAAAAAAGCAAGAACATTTACTCGATATTTTTGGTGTTAAGCAAAATGCGGAAAAATGGCATTTTTATCACTACTACATTCCTCAATTTCTCTGGTGGGTTTTTTGGTTCAAATAACAACAGCAGATAAGTGTACAAAAAAAATTTAGGTAAACGTTCATTGATTCAGTTCGGTTGCTTTACTGTAAAATTGGTTTATTCCATTCCTGAACGAGTTGAAATTGTTAAACTTTATTATTAGCATAATAGTTGTGCTAGACTTACTGCTCGCCTCTTTAATAACAGTCATCTCGGGAAAACTGTGAATGATTCGTACGTTGCCAAGTTAGTCCAAAAGTTTGTCGATACCGGATCTGTCTGTAATGTGAAACATCAACCACGGAAACCGATCAGAAATGAAGCAGTGGAAGTCGCTGTTTTGGGATATGTTGAATTGGATCATACTCAAAGTACCCGTCAGCTTGCTGCAGCCTCAGGTGTCTCCCGTTCGTCCATAATACGGATATTAAAAGCCTATAAATTTCATCCGTACAAAATTAAATTAGTACAGGAACTCAATGAAGATGATCCTGATAGAAGGCTGCATTTTTGTG